GCAAAATATATTGGGTCAATTCTGACAGACAACATATTTTGCTATTCCTGCAGTTGGTCTAGAGTTCCAAATACAAATACAGTCACATTTTAGGGGCTGGGGCTTGTAGCAGGCTGTTCTTTAACATCGTCATCTCTTAACTTGTCTTTGGCGTTATCCATTTGTACCTGCATAGTCTACTGTTAGAGGATCTGTCAAATCCAAATTTCCTCAAAGTTCAAGCAGAGTTACTGAAATCCATGAGGCTTAGGTTAATCATAACTAACTGAAGTCTCACTAATTTCAAAGGTTCAAATCAAAGCAGGGCAGTTTTTTTTCCCTTTGAGGTCACTGCCCTGTGTTTTTTTTTCCCCAGAATATCTAACTGCCATTTCATAATTCACAGGAGACCCAAGTGAAGATTACTTAATGTCCCTGTCTCTTAACCTTCCTTTTTGCACTAAATTAGCTGGCTTTCTCGTCTCCTAGCAACAGCACGTTATAGATTATGAACCTGCGCTTCCTTAATGAATTGTAGCTACAGTAAAAGCAGAAATGGTTTCCCTTCTCCTACATCAGGTATTAAAGAAGTATGAGAGCACAAAGATTTGGAAGTGTGGACAACCTCAGTTTAAGAGGGCACAGTGGGAAAACTCAAAAACTGTTGAGTCCGAGGGGAAGAATTCTGAAGAAAACTAGAAGAGAGGATGTCGGGGCCGGATGAATCCCTTGTTTGATTGGCAATAGAACTGAAAGTAGAAATTATAAGTTTATACATCTAGAAAGAAAAAGAGATTTGACAGGAGAAATCCGGCAAGAATTCTCACTAGGATAATGATATTGAAGGAAATCCCTTAAAAGACCCCCCCACATGAAACCTTCCTGCATCCTAAATTAAGTACAGGAGAAGAAAGATACACCGGTCAGTAATACCAGGAAGACATTGGTATGGTTTCTCCTGTGTATGTTGCTAGTAACCTTTCTTCCGAGATAAAGCTCCACAATATTTTTACAGGTACCAAATGACACCTCTCGAGCTCCTGCATCCAGCATTCCTGGCTGTGAGGTGCTGTGTGAACTGCATGCCTGTCCCAAGCTAGTTTGCCTCTGCTAGTGGTGTGTGAGCTAGGGCTTCACATTATGACAAAGCTGGTGAAAAATGCCAGAAGAAGTGTTTTGTCAAGTCCTAGTATCTGGTTCAGTTTCTTGAATCAGATGTTTTTGCACATGGGATATTAAAATCCCCAGGAGAAAAGTTTTTGAGCTGCTAATACGTCTAGGGCAATATACTTTTTCTTAGAACATCAAGTCTAAAAATGGCTCAGCTCCTGACACTTTTTCGAAGACAACTGAGGCACTGACTCAGCTTAAGAAATTATCCATTAAACGACATCCAAAAAAGCAACACTTCCATATATCTGTCAGATAAGCACATTGTCCTCAACTACCCATTTAGGTTCTGACTACTTTCTTGAACTGGCCTTTGAACTCCTCTTGACACGAATCACCACATGGGACACAAAAAGTGATCTTTTCCAAATACCTGATACAGAATTTAATTTACTTATTTTATTAGTTTAACTCTTCAAAGAAAAGATTTACCTAGGCATTGTACAATACACTTTAAAATATCATTGATTAGGCATCCTTCAGTCTCTAGAGACTATGGTAATGTGCTCTGTATGGAGGACTTGGAACAGCAACTAGTGTGGCTGAGAAGGCCAATTCGAGAGTGACAATCCCTTCCACAGTGAAGACAAATACAATCTGTTCCCTGTCCAGCTCCCAACTGATTTTGCTGGTTTCAGGACTGCCTCTTTGCCTCGACCTGCTGGACAAGGGTTTGGTCAAAATGGGAGAGGCCATGCTGCACCACCTGCCTCCAGGTTAAATGCTCAGATGTCAGTTTCCCATCTGTTGAGGCCCATTCCTAAAGCCTTCAGATCCCACTTTCATATCCTTGTATGCACTAATTCTCCATACAGGAGATCTTTTGGAATCCGACCATCAGCCATTCTCACAACATGCTCAAGCCAATGTAGACATAGTTGTTTCAGTAAAGTATACATGCTAAAAATTCCAGCTTGTTCTAGGACTACTCTATTTGGAACTTTGTCCTGCCAGGTGATACCAAAAATGCCTCGGAGACTAAGCATTTGTAACATGTTCAGCTTCCTCTCTTGCTGTGCACAAAGGGTCCAGGACTCACTGCAGTACAGGAGTGTGCTCAGGACACAGGCTCTATAGACCTGGATCTTGGTATATGCTGTCACCTTCTTTGACCTCAGCTGAGAGGTCAAAGAGGACTAACAAGAACAGTTTGCCTTCATCAGCTCCCTCAAAAGGTCATCTTGCAGGGCAACCAATGCTGCCTCTGTGCCATGATGGATGACCTGAAGATGTACGCAAACATACAGAAAGAGGTGCTTTGTAAAGTCCAGCATCCCAAGCCATGTAGAACTTTATAGTCAACACTACCAACTGTGTCCCGAACTGAATCTGAAATCAATGCAGGCAAAGGAAGGTTGGTGTAATATGATCATACGGCCTGGTCTCCCAAAGACCTCTTGTGGCTATATTTTGCTGGTTTCTTGACATTCTTCAATAACAGCCACAGGTATGCTTTACAGTAATCCAAATAGGAAGTCACTAAAACTTTGATCATTGAAGCCAGGGCATCTCTACCCAAATAGCACTGGAGCTGGGTAAAAGGTACTGTGGGCCACTTACAGTAGTCCTCCAAAGGCAGTGATGGAGCCACAAACATCACCAAGTTACATACCCGAATTTCCCTTAGTGAGCTGTTTCTTATGCTGCGCTTTGCCATCTCAACACTTCTGCATGTCACTCCTGTGTCTAAAATCATCAGAAACAGAATTAAAAATGTAATGAACCACCCCAGCCTTGCCTTACCTACCAATAAACTCTTATTGTTTATTGTTGTTGTTTAGTCATTTAGTCGTGTCCGACTCTTCGTGACCCCATGGACCAGAGCATGCCAGGCCCTCCTGTCTTCCACTGCCTCTTGGAGTTCGGTCAAATTCATGTTGGTAGCTTTGATGACACTGTCCAACCACCTCGTCCTCTGTCCTCCTCTTCTCCTCCTGCCTTCACACTTTCCCAACACCAGGGTCTTTTCCAGGGACTCTTTTCTTCTCATGAGATGTCCAAAGTATTGGAGCCTCAGCTTCAGGATCTGTCCTTCCAGTGAGCACCCAGGGTTGATTTCCTTCAGAATGGATAGGTTTGTTCTCCTCGTGGTCCAGGGGACTCTCAAGAGTCTCCTCCAGCACCACAATTCAAAAGCGGAAATTCTTCGGTGGCCAGCCTTCTTTATAGTCCATCTTATTGTTGATATTATCCCCCAAATGGTTCTGCACTGTCCTTTATCTGGGACTTCTGGAAATTGTCATCCAAAAAAAAAGTAACTTCCCAAGTTCAGGGGAGGGGTAAAATTAATCATGCCAATGTAACAGAGTTCAACAGAACATAATTAATCATTCAAACAACAGAAAGCCAGAGAAATAATAATGCCAGAGAGCAGACAGGGACAACAACATATCCCTTTTACAATGCCCTCACAAATTAAACATTTATAGGCTAGTTGTAAAGAGTTGTGATGCCTATGTCATCAAGGAAACTGCCCTTCCCCTTCCAGATATATCATGTAATTTGAAGTCACTTTAGTTTATTTTCCTATAATAAATTATTGGAATCTGCTATAATTCCCTTCTGCTATCCTTCCACTTTCATAGCCTCTACAAAGTGACACTGCAAGAGCCTCGTGGCTCAGTGGTTAAATTGCTGTACTGCAGCTAAAACTGTGCTCACGACCTGGGATTCAATCCCAGGTAGCCAGATCAAGGTTGACTCAGCCTTCTATCCTTCCGAGGTCGGTAAAATGAGTACCCAGCTCGTGGGGGGGGGGAATGTATAGCCTGCATAATTAACTTGTAAACCACCCAGAGAGTGCTTGAAGCGCTATAGGGCAGTATATAAGCAGCACGCTTTGCTTTTGCATTAATGTGTTTTGTTTAACACCTAGCTCACTGCTGCTACTAAACACACACATACAAATGTCAATGGCTGGGTAGTATCAATAATAATAGAAACAGCAGCAATATGAAAAGAATGAAGATGTTTACCTCTTTCAGCAGGGCCAGCCCTGTCATTAGACACAGTGAGGTAACCACTTCAGGGAACAAATTTTGAGTATCGCAAAAGAAGAGCAAATGGTTAGCTACTTACTTTGCTATTACTGCATTTTTTGTAGCTGGAGTAGGGTGGTTATGGATTTGCTGCCTTGTTGTGACAAAAAAAAAATTGGGTATGGACAATTTGCCACTTAACCTGGGTGGATATGGAGTATTGTTTGCTACTCACTTTCAGTCTTAGGCTAGCCCTGCCTTTGAAGAAAATGCAGGTATTTTTGTTTGGTACACTGTCTCAGAAGATGCAGAGAGTCTGATTAATAGTCTTGGAGATCACGTTGTGTTCTAACCTTTTCCACATTTTAAGAAGACATAGGAGATGCATTAGCGCCATATTTCATAAATACAACACAACATATGGCCCTGAATTCTTGCAGTCAATTTTCACTTTACATTCTGCACTCAAGAGCAAACACCAGAGTAAAAATTACGTGTGCATCTTATCAAGTTTAGAAACTGTGAAAATGTTATGCCCTTGAATCCATGTGCATCAAGGAAACAGAACAAAACATGAGTCCAGAAGAAAGGAAAGTATTAAGTACAGAAGGATCCTACCTCTTCCTTTCCACATTATTCTGAATTTTCATTACAGAGTAACAGTATACCTCTCTGAACACAAGCAGAACTCAGTACATATTTCTAACATAGTTCCTCCCATTGCTTTGGCATGAGAGTATGATATAAAATATGATAATCCATCAGCCCAAAGTAGTCAATTCCAAACCGCCCAGAGTAGACTATGTCTAGATGGGTGGCATATAAATGCAATAAATAAATAAATAAATAAAATAAACCATAATTCTCAATTACCATTAGAACACCAAAGGACCACCAGTCTGCACTCTGCGTGTGCCCTCGCCGGTTGACCACCTCTGGGGCCATATATTCTATCGTCCCACAGAACGAATAAGCTCTCTTGTCATGGTCAATGGCTTCCTTGCTTAAGCCAAAATCTAAATAAAGAGACACAAAACTGAGTATTTGATATAAGGAAAATTACATTCACTTTTTGCCTAATGAAGTGCAAAAAGTTAGGAAACTAACAGTGCAATCCAAAGCAAGTCTACTCAGAAGCAGCAATAGGCACATTTGACCAGTTTGCTCTCTTCAAGGTTCTTTCTCTTCCCCCACCCCCCTTTCCTCATTGAAAAATTCTGGTTGCATTCTGGTTTTGAGCACATTTTCTTACACAGCTGAAATCCAACAATATATGGTGACCCAAGTCTGGGAGCCCCTGACATAAACACATACTATATAGCTCTTTCTGTTTTTCATTTCTGTTACTGGTAGACATTGTGGGAGGGGGACTCCAGATTGGAAATACAGTACATGAGGAGGTGAGATTTAACAAAGACAACCTTTCCCACATCTCTCACTGAGTTTAAGAACAGCCATTTTCAACAGGGGCCATATAGACCCCAGGGGGAGGCCTGGCACATTTGAAGGGGGGGCACAGTGTGGAAGCAATTCTTCACACCCACCTTATAAGGTTTATTAGGCAATCCTGATTTGACCTCTATTACTTTTGTACTGTGTTTATGTCCACAGACAAAAAAAAAAGAGTTGGGAATAGTTTGGTTTAGAGGAAAAGCACTACATGTTAATTAATTACAATGCCCCAGAATGATATTTATTTGGAAATATTGTTGGCAATGTGGAGGGTGGCTAGATCCATTTGGTCAGTACTACTAGGAGTGTAAGTAAAACATTGAAGAGTTCCCTGTGGAGACCTGTTGAGTCCTACCAGAGCAGGGGGCCCTGGCAAACGCCCAAGGACGCCAGGTGCTGACCTAGGTCCTGCCGTCAGGAAGATGTGATGGGCAGAGTATAATAGAGACTAACTGCAGAAGGCAGGTGCTACATACCTGTAATCTTAATGTGTCCTTCTTCATCTAGAAGAATGCTAGAGGACGATAAAAAGAGAAGCTTAGTGCAAATGCAAAATGTGTTGAACAAAAGCAGGGGATGTACAATTGGCACAAAGGATGTTAAGCTAATTCAATGTGAAGAAAACCATTCTCTTCATTTTCAACTCCTCTTTCTATCACTTGGGGTCCATTTTTCACACATTCATTCTAAATCCTCAGCAAAGAGGGGAACAACAAAACCCGTGTGTAATTCTCCTACTCCAAAGTTATTATTGTTATTATAAAGAATCAAGTCTTTGAAAAGCTGCAATAGTAACTATCACTCTCATATTGTTTTATTTTGCAGCAACATAACTTGAAAGGAAATGATCTTCTGTAGAACATTGTAGGCTGAGAACAGACTGCTACAGAGTATAATTATATGAATAATGAATACTGACAGTTGTCACTACTATTATTCAACAATTATTATCATCCCCCACCCATAGCCTTCCTGCCAAAGCTTGCTTATATGAATCACAGTTCTACTCCACTAATAATTGTAGAATCTTTGCTTCTCAGCAACACTTCATTTGAGCAACAATACAGTTCTATAATCCCCCTTGTCTGTATCTAACTCGGACAAAAAGGAAAACAGCACACCATCTTCTGTGCAGAAGAGAAACCAAATCTACATTGCCATTTGTTTTAATGCCCCGAATAGCCCTTTAAATCATGTCAAAGACAAAGGGGGATTGCAGCTGAGGATATTACCTTCCAAATGGTAAACAGCATCTCCTGGAAAGTGAAATGTATTTACCAGAAAGTCTGCTTGTGAAAATAGAGGGAAAAGCAGGAGCATCCATGAGTCTGGATGGGTAAGGATAATACTGAGCTTTTCAGTTGTGGGGAAATATGAGGTTCATAGTTTATACCTAGCCCAACATGATTTCCTTCTAGGACATTTCCCCCCTGGAATGAATGGCTGTAGTAGTTCCTGGACGGAGAATTTGTTTTTCTGCATAGGCTGGATCTCCAGGAACAGATGGAGAAGGGAAGGTAGCTGACACATGAGCAGCTTTTTTTTCTTTTCTTTTTTTAAGTGCCTTTGTTACATCGTTGTTGTAGGTTTTTCGGGCTGTTTGTCCGTGTTCTGAAGGTTTTTCTTCCTAACGTTTCACTAGTCTCTGTGACCAGCATCTTCAGAGGACAAGAGTTAGAACTCTTCTGAACGCAGACAAAGTTCCCACTCCTGTCCTCTGAAGATGCCGGCCACAGAGACTGGTGAATGTTTGGAAGAACAACCTCCAGAACATGGATCTCTGTGACCAGCATCTTCAGAGGACAAGAGTTAGAACTCTTCTGAACGCAGACAAAGTTCCCACTCCTGTCCTCTGAAGATGCCGGCCACAGAGACTGGTGAACAGCCTGAAAAACCTACAACAACCATTGGATCCTGGCCATGAAAGCCTTCAAGAATATGCCTTTCTTACAGTTTACGTTAATCACACACCACATCTCTCTCCCAAAAGTAGCTCACCTCACTGTTGTTCTATACTAGAGAGACAGTGCTCAGGCTGTTAGGATGAGCAGCTTTCTGGCTGGTAGGCAGGTCTCATGCCCTGAGCTGAGAAAAGTTCCCTTTCTGGACTACATCTTCTAACATCCCCCAACTAGCATGGACACTGGTCATGCTGGCTGAAAGATTCCGAGAGACCTAATCCAAAGGAATAATTTTTCCAAGTTTTGCTCTTGCCCAGCTCTTTAAGAAAGCAAAGTAACATTCACTACTGCCTTCTGATTCTTTTCTTAAGTGTTAGGCTTAACACTTGAGGCTTTTCTTCATGCTCTTATTTCTGTGGCAAAGTAACATTCACTACTGCCTTCTGATTTTTTTCTTAAGTGTTAGGCTTTTCTTCATGCTCTTATTTCTGTCTTCATGGCAAGACTTACTTAGTCAATGAGGACAATTATTAGTCATTATTGAATCTGGAGTGCCTCAAGCCAGGACTGTGGTACTTCTACAGAATCTAGAGTTAAGGCTACAATTGCCAAGAGTCCATAGCTGTAGCTAGGCCCCAGTTCCTGTGCTGACCATCCCCTTGGGGAGCCAGGGGTTCACCTGTTCAGAGAGGTGTGTGGCAACTGGTGAGACACTTGTAAGTTAATGGTACACTGAATATGGGTCATGTGGGCATGGGGTACACTGTGCTGTTTATCATTAGTTACAAGGAATAGCCAGAAGAAACATACATGTCTCTTGCACAACTCCATATAATCTGCAAGGGAATAATGTTTTGTCATTTATGAATATATCAGTTTAAATGCTGGGAATCTCATGCTTTCAGACAAGGAAGCATGGATATTTGCATGTCTACATAATGGGAAGTATCTTCAAGAGCTCCTTAGAACAAAGCTCCCTTAGCTCCAGTCTTCTACCTGATATGACATCTTTAATACCTAGACTCATAAGCAGAAGCATTATAAGAAGTTCAATCACTTTCACTCCACCATTGACCTGAGCTTAGAGCAATCTATAAAATATAATCTATAATGACATACACACAACCTTATACTGCAAACCTACTAATTGCCAGACATATTTTTGTGCTTTCAGCTTCCACTAAGAACTCGCCACAGAATCTACCACCAAGTTCTTTGAAATAATCACATCTGTTCAGACATTTCAGACATAGATTCGAACCAGGCATTTCTCAGAATGAATGAACTATCTGACAAAACAAATCAACAAGGCCAAACTGGCCTACCCTGGGTGATGGTCCTCTAATTTCTTACAGACAGTCCCTCAACCTAAAACTGCCACCTTCAAGGGATAAAACGGGCTGCAACCAGACTTTCAGCAAACACAGATGCCAACTGTGCCATATCTATCATGGCAGTACTATTACCACGTCCTAATCTTGTAATCCACAAGATTGGAGGTTCATTCATGCAATTTCCCATTCTAATTGTGGCATCATTCACTACCAATGATCTTCTGTGTAGGGCAAACAGGCCAGTCTCGAGACAGAAAAAGAAATGTCTACAAATCTGGTATCAGAAATGGCAAATTTGAAAACCAGGGGGCAGCAACTCTGGATGACCTTAAAGCAGCCATCTTAGAAAAGAGGAACCTTTATAGGTTATAGCATGATAACTGCTGAATTGTTTACAAAATTCAGTTCCCTCACTTGCAGGTTGAGTAGGAATAGAGGTTTCCTTATGCATTGTATGCATAAATAAAGCAAAGCAAAGTGTGCTGCTTCTATACCACCCCATAGTGCTTCAAGCACTCTCCGGGCGGTTTACAAGTTAATTAGGCAGGCTACACATTGCCCCCCCCCCCCAGCAAGCTGGGTACTCATTTTACCGACCTCAGAAGGATAGAAGGCGGAGTCAACCTTGAACCGGCTACCTGGGATTGAACCCCAGGTCATGAGCACAGTTTTGGCTGCGGTATTCTACTATTGCAATAATGGCCTTTTTAAAATGAATGGCTACTTTCAATAACATAGCACAGATTGCATTTTCTACATTTTATTTTCCCTGATCTCACTGTTAATCAAATTCCTGCAATTAATGACAACATTTCCCGTAACTCATGACAATAACTTAGGAATTTGAAAAACAGACTACAGTTTATGGCTCTAGACCATAAACTGAAGACCATAAACTGAAGGCCCCACAAGATTTTTGGTTAGTTATATGGAAAAAGGAATCAGGCTTGTAAGAGTATTTTTGATCAAAGAAAATAAACTTTATTTTAAATCTTCAAACATTCATTTTTAGATTAACTTACTTTTCTGGTTTCAAATCCCTGTAAATAATACCAAGTACATGGAGATGATCTAAAGCCAAGGCCAGCTCAGCTAAGTAAAACTTTACATCTTCTTCTGTAAACATTACCTAGAAGAAACAGAAAACCAGAGTATTTAATGGACAAGAGCAGATTTATCTACATAGGTTTTTCCATTAGAAAAAGTAGCAGAACACTGGTCCAAGAAATACAATGAACAGTGGATTGCGAACAAAGCAAAGAAAAGATTTACAACTTTTTTTTAACCAGCTTCAGAGCTGGGACCTAGATTCAATTAAATCCATTCAAAGGAACATTCATCATATATATCAGATAAGGGGTTCTTCTGTCTTATTTCTTACACACACAAAAATCTAGTCCATCTATAAATCCAGTGAATGTTCTTTCCTTTCTAAAACTTATAAAATAAGTTCATGGAAAGCATTTTACTTCTTTCCCTCAAATGTGCAGTCATTCTTTGCCATACAAAAAACATTTGTTAATTCTGACATGATGTGAAAAACAGCTCATAAAAAACTCCAAGTAATACAATGATTCAAAAGACAGTATAAAATTCTTTCTCTAAAGGATATTGTTTTGTTTTTAAATTTAGGACACACTTAATTGGGGAATCATAGAATAATTGAGTTAGAAGGTGCCTATAAGGCCATTGAGTCTAACCCTCTGCTCAATGCAGGAATCCAAATAAAAGTAGATCTGGTAAATTGTCATCTCATTTTCTCTTGAATGCCTCCAGCTTTGGAGAGCTCACCACCTTCCAAAGTAACCGAGTCCATTGTTGTAGTACCCTAACAGTATGTTTTTCCCGATTTTCAACCAAAATATGGCTTTCTGTAACTTGAGAGCATTGTTATGTGTCCTGAGTTCTGGGATGATGAAGAACAGATCCTGCCGCTCTTCTGTATAATAGTCTTTCAACTGCAATCAAACCTCATCTCCGTCTTCTTTTCTCAAGGCTAAACATGTCCAGTTCTTACATTTTTTCCTACTACACTTGTTATGCCCTCCCAACATGATCTGTAGAGTAAATTATTGGGGTGGGAATGATGGAATATCACAGTGCCTTCTTGCTGGTCTCTCTGTGTGAGATCTCTCTCTCTCTCTCTCTCTCTCTCTCTCTGTGTGTGTGTGTCTTTGTGTCTCTGTGTGTGTGTGTCTGTGTGTGAAAGAGACAGGGGAGAGGGAAAATGAGGGGGGAGAGCGGGAGACTCTGTGTGTGTGTGTGTGTGTGTGTGTGTGTGTGTGTAGATATTTATAAATACGGCACTCCCAAGCAAACTACACCAGAGCACAGAGTGCTGTCCTCTGAAGATGCCGGCCACAGAGACTGGCAAAATGTTAGGAAGAACAACCTTCAGAACACAGCCAAAGAGCCCGAAAAACCCACAACAACCATTAAATCCCAGCCGTGAAAGCCTTCATGAATACATTTAACGATATTTTCATGCTAATCTTATGCTTCCCAGTGGCTACACCTCTGCTTCCTTATGGAAAGACATAAATTGCATTTATTTGTTCAGAGGATCACAGAAGAGTGAGTCTCTGAAAAACGTTCATGAACTTGGCTGCAAAGAATATTGAGAGCAACAGGAAGGAGGTTCACCTGCAGTCAATGAAATGTCTCCCTGGGAGAGATTTTTAAAGCCCATCTGCTCTGAGGCAATGACTACTCTCATTTGGTGCTGATACAGCTGCTGAGGCACAATTTAAAACTGAGCATTTGTTAGTGCTTATCCAAAAAGCAGACTCTGAAAACCTACACCAGCAGATACAAAAAACAAAAAAAATGCATTTTTAGCAGCTGATGGTAGCAGTCTGGTGAATTTCATTCAGCTTGTGCTGGTGGTGACTACAGATTACCATTATATTTAACTTTCTCCCTCAAGAGTAAAGTTGCACTCATGTGGGATGTTAGTCACCACTGACAGTTGCTGCTGAAAACCCATGCAGGCAGCTACTCACTTTGGAGAAGAATGCCAGCATTTTGATATTTAGACAATAGCACGTTATCCCCCAAGTTCAATGGCCATCTGCAGAAGAGAAAAGGTTTTCAGCAAATACTAAAGGTAATGAGTAACATGTAAAGTAGCCCTTGAAACACACGGAAAGAATAAGGAGGAACTAGCAGGAGCAGATGAAATTATACGGTGAGAGGTATAGCACTACTTAAACAAACACGGAAAAATTGAAATGAATTAAAAGAGAAATAAAATGGCTTTTAAAATCTAAACCATAAAGGTACCTAATATCATGTCTGGAACTAAATCTATACTAAATTATCTGGGAATAAGCTCTTGAAATAGTCTTATTGTCTATAACATTCCACTTTAAATATTAGCTTTCTTGAAGTTTGGATACAGATCAACCTGTATGAGCAGATGACCTCCCCCACCCCCTGCCAAAACGTCAAAATGACTAGATTTGGTCTGCCACCTCCTGATTTTGGAGTTCAGGTTCTCTGTGGCAGATGCCTAAGCGCCTTTCAAGGGTAAGATGTGCCTTGAGTGCTAGAACAAATATAAGGTGATGATGGACAGATAGCCAGCACTGAAAAGTCTAGTAAACTCCATTGCTACTGCCAGTAAATGGTTAGGAGTAGAGATGGGCATGAACTTACAAACCTCAGTTTGGAGGTTCATGCTGGTTCATACAAGTGTGAATTCATTTCAACCACCTCCCTGGCCAATAACCTATTCACCAGTAGGAGTGCACTCCTTTCCGCCTCCTCTTCAGTTGTTTGACCAGTCCCCAGCAGGAGCCTGAGTTTGCCTGTCCTGCCTTCTTGTCTGAGTGGTTGATCAAGTGAGAGACTGGTCAAACAGCCAAAGAGGAAGAGGAGAGGAGTGTGTACCAGCTGGTGAGTGGGGGATCCAGCCAGGGAGATAAGGAAGGGAATGAACCAGCACAAACCTCTGAACCGAGGTTCACACCCATCCCTTCAGTTGCTCCATTGTTCTAGGATGGGGCCCTAATAATTACTGTTGTCATATCCTGTAGTGGCTGCATGAATGGTCCTTCTGGATACCTATTCTAGTTTGGACCACAGAACTGATATAAATGACAAGAGGTTATGTCCAGAAATTGGAAATGTTCCTTTATGGGCTAGCTCAAGGATATTAAGAATATTAAGGGTAGTGTGTCTTGCTTGTATCCCAGTTCACACATTGTCGACATCCATGAGGCAGGGCCCAACAAGTGAACTGGACAAGGCTAGATTATTCCAGAAGATGAGTCTGGCCTTGTTTTACCTTAGACTAGTTCCTCAATGTGAATATGTGCCAAAAGACAAGGGAAATATTTTTCAGAACTGCCTCTGTTATCTTAAAATACTTGCTTGCCATATACAACATGGTTGGATACCCCTTTTTGATGGGCTGGTAATGCCTGCAGCTGTAGCTCAATAAAGGAATGTTTTGAAGTTCTAAATGTAAGTAAGGTGGATATGGGGCCTAGTTTACATAATTCTTTGTTGGAAAGGCTGTCGGGAGACATTCATGTATTTGAAGATCAGAAGCCATCAGAAGAACTAGCAGGGGTTTTGAAGTTGCTGATCAATAGTTATTAGCCCCAGATCTGCAGATCTACCAGGTACAGAGGTCTTTTAGTCATAGTCTTCCCCACTGTGATGAGATAAATTGCATTTTTATTGAAACTGTTTTTACTGAAACTTCTAAACTGTACATGCAAATATTATGTAACGCCTTCATAAAATGCAGATTTTATGTAAATATTTTTTTGGGGTTGTTAATTAGTTTTCTCCCATCATACTTATAGATAACATGTTTCGTAAGACCCAGCCCACATAGCACATTGTACCAATGGTTTTCAACCTTTGGCCTTCTCGGTGCTTTAGAATTCAGCTCACAGAACTCTTGACAACAGGCCATTCTGGCAGGAGTTTCTAGGAGTTACAAGTTCAACAGATATGAAAGCTTCAGCTTGAGAACCACTGCATTATAGTAATTAAATAGGAGGTTAAATGTGTACCCTGATCACTGTGACCAGGGTACCCATGACCATTCTCTGCATTTAGTTGCATAGGCTCTTACCAGTTTCCTCCCACTGGCTGAGGTGCAATTGGGCAGTAAAAGGGAAGTCTTATTGGTGGCAGTGCCCAGATTATTTCTTGCCCAATAATGTCATTCGTCCCTTCATTAATGGGCTTTCATTGCCAGGTGAAGACTTTTCTCTTACTCAAGCATTACGCTCAGATTACTTGCATTTTCATGTTTAGCCATCTATTGGTTATGTCTTCTCATTATTTTCTTTGTTATTACTTATGGTTACAATTGCAGCTGAGGGAACTGCATTATGTTTAAGATATTTAAGCTGTTATAAAAAGACTAAATACATCTCTTTATATAAGTAAATAATATTATATAAAATTCTGCAAATTTATTTCTACTGTTGTCACTGAGATACAGCATCTGATAGTTGTGTTTATTTTTCCTCTTGCTTTATTTTGCCATTCCTAATATCACAGAGAAAATGTTTTAATTATCTGATTCAAAAATATTAGACAATTAAACAATACATGAAATATTGATATTTCAAAATGGCTTTCAGAATCATGAAATATCAGGCCTCCTTTTCATACAGATATTTTAAAAAGGCATAAGAGATGGATTCTATTATAAAGAGACAAATAACCACATACAATTATTAAAATACAAAAAACCTAAAAAGATGAATTCTGCCATCAGTTCTACTGGTAAGAAATTCTACTATGAAGAGACAAATGCAATTATTTGTGTTTGTTTTTCAGTCATAAAAACTAATTTATTTAACTTACCTCTTTGGAAAGTCTAGTGAAAAGGTCCCCTCCTCGTAGGAAATCCAGTATAAGATATAGCTTTCCTTCAGTTTGAAATGCTGAAAATGGAAAAAGGTGGGAATGCTGAATGTTTAATACAGGATGCCACAAAATGCTTATTATGGATGGAAAACTGTTACCATTATTAGGGACCACTGACACTGAATGTAATGCCCATGTGAGAAAAAAGAAGCAAAAAGATGAGCAAATTTTACTGTAGGCCAACACCTGACAGACATCTTTTTCAGATAGTGCATTTACAACCCCTGCTCTGCTTCCTTCTCTGATGGTTGGTGATGGAAAATCATGGAATTCACTACGATTCACATCCTGGCCACTAACGGTCTAGTGCTAAACTACTTTGGTTTCAGCACTATCCTGGTACCTGTCCATCTCCAGCAAACATCCGTTATGGATAAGCAAAGTTCATGTGTGCTTCCATGTGCTGTTAGCTGTTGCTTCCCTGTGCTCATCATGTATGAGGGGGAAAAGTACTTGGGAAGCACAATAGCACTAAGTTCCATCCACTATTATATAACTAACACACACACACACACACACACACACACACAAAATGGTGCAGAAGCAGACCAAAGTTCTTTTGCAGTGGTTGGGAACAAATACCCAATACCCTGTTTCCCTGAAAATAAGACCTAATTTGAAAATAAGCCCTAGTATGATTTTTCAGGATGCTTGTAATATAAGCCCTACCCCAAAAATAAGCCCCAGTTAAGTGAAACCCCGCCCTCCACCATTGTGCAGCATTGTGCAGCAACCAGAAGATGACATGACTATAAAATAAAACATCCCCTGAAAATAAGCCCTAATGCATTTTTGGAGCAAAAATTAATATAAGACCCTGTCTTATTTTCGGGGAAACACAGTAGAACACAAATTTATTCTACAGCCAAAGGCCTAATAAAATACAACATAAGTACGTACAGTATAAATTCACAAAGTAAATTTAAAAAGTTTAAAATTAGTTGAACATCAGGATTATCTTTCGTGTCTTCTGGGGAGAGAGCAGGAATTTAGCCACAAGTTCTGTAATGGACTTATTTGTATCTTCTAAAAGGTATTTTGTATATCAGTTCAATGATCTTCCTAGAAAGCTTCTCATTAAGGGGTGTAGGAGCCTGGCACAATCAACCCTGTAATAACTACATGTAAAGTGAACATGTTGCAACATTTCTATTTCTCTATTATTACAAGGACATAATCGGTTTTCATATAATACACCATGATAGCCGCCCTCTAATACAGCATATATAAAATAGTTAAATCTGGCTCTTGAAAAAAATCTGTTGATATTTTGGGATTGTCAAATTTTTCAAATACTTAGCTCTTTGGCCAAATTGAAAGTTCAAACAAAAATATCTGGACATTCTCTATTGAATGTTGGAAATCAATATCTTTGATCCATCTTTCAATAATATACTTAGCTGTCTTCATTTCATAAATATGGAGGAAATCCATAAATAAGCCTAAAAATTCAATTTAGTTGGAAAGATTTTTGTAATCAGGCTGTACTTTCCACTGAAAGAACACCCATCTCAAGTGGCAGACTTGCTGCAGAAAAACATTTTGAAAATCTAAGAACTGATCTCAGAAATACTGCAAGAACACTCTCAGCACTTAAATGGAAGCCCAGAATCTACACTGGGATTCCATAGAGTAATTGAGGTACTGCACTCTCAAACCAACTACAGTGGGGTCTCTACTTAAGAATTTAATCCGTATTGGAAGGTGGTTCTCAAGTTGAAAAGTTCTTATGCTGAATCTGCATTTCCCATAGGAATGCATTGAAAACCATTTAATCCGTATCTGCTCTTTTCCGTCCATAGAAACTACAGTATACCAGCGCACAGAATGCTGTCCTCTGAAGATGCCAGCCACAGAGACAGACGAAACGTTAGGAAGAACAACCTTCAGAACACGGCCAAAGAGCCCGAAAACCCCACAACAACCATTAGATCCCGGCCGTGAAAGCCTCCGTGAATAAATTGAGGTAGAACTTTAGCTCTAAATACCTGAATAGCAGCTGGTATAAATTGGGCCCCCTTAGTAAAAAAAAAATAACCGGGAAATGGCCTTGATGGTATTCTGATGATATAGTCCTATTCAGAGTTTTTTTGGAACAGAACATGTATTTCATCTACTCTAGCAAGGATAGTTAGATGAAATACAAACCCTATTGAGGCACTGTTAAAAATGGCTATGCTACACACATGGGGGCATGGACTTTTCACTTTTCAGCTTTTCACTCTTCACTTGGTTTAAGTGAAATATGACAGGTAAGAAGAGATACTTGTTCATCTGGACAAAAACCATCTGTAGCAGCTGGCACACCCCAATCTTGTCCAATTTCAGAAATGAAGCAGGGTTGTACTGGTTAGTGTACTGTATTGTGATGGGAGACCACTAGGGAACAAGAGGAATCTCCAGGGAGAAATAGGAAAGATATCTGGAGATCCATTGCTGTCAGTCAGGGTTAATAATAGATGAACCAAGATTTTGATTTAGTATAAAACAGCCTCATATGTTCTTAAGGCACACTGTTTTTCACATAAGCAAAACAATGATGGGCAGGTGGGGGTACAGAGCTTCCCCTCCTGTAAACTGAGTAAATACGCATAAGAATACCTGGATATAATTTATGTTTCAACCAGGTGTCATCCTCAGAGTAGGAAAAATACATGCTTTTATTCAAAATTTGCCTTCCCTAAGTTCCTTGAGACCAGAAAATAAAACTGCCAAGAAATTGCCTTGTGAAACGGTGACTTACTATCACTCGCAAAGGAACACAGTTTGACAAAAAGTCTTAAATTGAGTACATTCTGCTTCTGGTAATTCACTTGAGTTTTATCTGTTTTTGCTTTCTGGGCCATTTTGGCCTCCTTTTTTTTAGCTCCTGCTAGAAAGCCAAAGTGCTATAAACATTAAGACAACCTCTTGAGAATCACAAAACACTCTCAGATAAATAAATCTATATGGGCAAGCTTCACAACTTTGTAGTAATGTCAAAAATTCCTTGAAATGCTAGCGTAATTTCAGAACAACATCAATTGGTACAAAAGTTAGCATCATCAGTGAGATCTTTCAAATTATCTTGGATAATGGATTCCTTTTCTTAGTTGTCACTGTGAATAGCAAAATGACTTAGAGTTCTTTCTACTGTAGAGACAGGCACAAACCAAAAACGAACTGGGAAGTTTGTCAAACTTTGCTGGTTCGTTGGTTCGGGTCAGTTTCGGTTCACCAAAAGCAATGAACCAAAATGAACCAAGCCAACAAACCTTTTAAGCGATTTTTTGTTTATCTGCCCATTTTTCTCCCCCCTTGCCACTGACATCCTGCTCCTGTCAATCAGAAGCACTACACAACCCTGGGAGGAATGCAGAGACTACTGGATTGGCATGTCAGCCAGCCAAAAACATGGCTGAAAGGGCTCTGGGTGAGTTGATTGTTCTTGTTTATAAGAACAATTCACAGGACCCATTTTCACCTCAAAGTCACTTCTGAAAGTCAGAGCAACCCTTCTACTTTGGAACCAGGTTAGGGCATATCTGCAGCAGCACATTGCTTCCCTTGTCAGCCTACAGTATCTCTCCTCAAATGGCCATTGGGGTTTGGGGAAAGGATCTTATCCCTTCTCAGTCCATCTTCTGATGAGCAACACCCTGTCTCAGGTTCTCTAGCATGAACCACCACTGGAATTTCCCCCAAGCCAGCTGCTAAAAGGCATTTTTCCAAGGGGACTTGCTTTGAGGGTGTGTAACTCATACATCTGAAACCCAAACTTCACCAAACTTGGAGAGGGTGAGGGGATGTGGTGTCTCTAGGTGGCTGGTGAACCGTTCTGGGGCTCCCAAACTTCAGAACCGAAACAAACTGATTCATGGTTTGTTTTTTCCAAAAGTTCAGGAAGTTCATGGTTTGTGGACTTCATCAAACCACAATGAACTGCTATTTTGCTGGTTCGTGCCCATCTCTAAGTTACTGTATTCCCTTTGCATTACTATGAAGGTGTTATATCTGAAGGCATTTTCTGACAAGACCGGGAATAAAGTCGTGAAACAAATAAAGGGGATAGCAGGACCTGATCATGGGCTAGCAGAGAAGGATGGGAAGACACAAGTTAATTTTTGGCAAGATAAATATGTCTCAGATATAAATGATAACAGTTGAATTCACAACAAAATCTTCAGGAATTCACAGAAGATACGAGGAGGAAGCAATTTCACAGCAGCTAATCACACTCCCAGTTTTGGGGTACTCCTCTGGTCAGACATCCTGATACTCCAGAGTTCAGCTGAATGAATGCCAAGAGCCTTTGGATATACATGTGTTGGAATCTCCTGCCACATACTGAGTCGAATGCATAAATATAATGCGCATGCTTACTGGACAAGGTCCTGTATTGCCCTTATACATTCAGGGGCTAATTGGGGAAGGAAACTGGAATCATAACAACACTGCAGAATATTTGAATCTGCTGGCATTGGGTGGATTTATACCAGGATGGCAAATCTGTAGGGCCCAATATGGTCCAGGGACCTTTTCTCCACCGACGAATCTACCCAGAGACACACTAGCCTCTGAAACTGTGGGAAAAATAATAATTAAAAAAACTCTCACTTTCTAGAATTCCATTTTCATTTTTGTTTGAAGGGATTTTTAGGACTTTAAGGTGCTTTCATCTCATTTAATAAAAAACTGTCTGCCTTTAAAAGTCTCCAGGAGTTATATATGTCCTTAAAAAATGTATATGGCATCATAGGTTCCCCAAAGCCACAAAAAGAGCCATTGGATCTCACTTTGCCCACTCCTGATGTACATGAATGTGTTTGCTTGATCATCTGAAACTTTCATAAATATCAACTGCCACTCATAAGAGTACTTAAACAGGTAAAAGCCTGGGGCACATGCTGCACATCGACAATGCAGCAACACTGCTGAAGCCAATCAGGTTGAGATCTGGTCCATACTTAGATAGGAGACCACTTTGAGTTCCCTGATGAAAGGGAGAAAGGATACCAAAATAGTTTGCTTTAATTATTATGTCTTTCATTGGTTTTATTGTATTTAGTTATGGTGTATTTAAATTCTATTAAAGGTGCATTTCAATATAAACCACCTATATACGCTTACTGGAGTTTTGCTGCTATTATGGTCTCTGTGTCAGCAACACATTCTTTAATAAAAAGCTGCAACACAGAGTTTCCTGGAGACATCCAAGATCCAAGCATTGGCATCAGCTCGATTTGATCCTCACTAGACGTTCTAGCCTTCCTAGTGTTACGATCACACGCAGCTACCAGAGTGCTGATTGCTATACTGATCACTCCCTGGTGTGTAGTAGAGTAAAACTGCGAACAAAGAAATTGTATCACACGAAAAAGGAAGGAAGACCACATATTGACATCAACAAGACTCGCGATCAAAGAAAAGTGAAGGAATTTGCCCAAGCACTTGAGGAAACCCTTCCAGGTCCAGCTAATGTAAATGCACCTGAACGATGGGAACACTTCAAGAACACTGTCTACAACACCGCCTTGTCCACCTTTGGCAAGAAGACCAGAAAGATGGCTGACTGGTTCGAAGCCCATTTGGAGGAGTTAATGCCAGCCATTGAGGATAAGAGAAGAGATCTAACAGCATACAAAACCTGTCCTAGCGAGTACAACCTGCAAGCTCTTCGAGCCGCTCATAGCCAAGTCCAACAGGCTGCCAGGAGATGCTCCAATGACTATTGGCTTCAGCTCTAATGCTTCAGGGTACCATCTTTCAAACTTGCTTGATTGGGAATATTACCTACTCTATCTTGTACACCATGATTATTTTATATGTACACAGTTTTATTCTTAGCAGTGAACATAAACTGGATTTATTCTGAGCCTATCAAATGTTTGCAAAGAATCTTTGAACGATTCTTTGCTTGGAGCACAACTATTTTAAAACAATCTGATACGTTATGGTTGTTATTGCTGACCTGTCTGAAAAACTGCATGTTAAAATGCAGCACCAAAGAAATGTAGATAAGGCAGGTATTTATTTTTTATTTTATATTTTGCAATGGGAAACCGGTATGTTTTATGAGTGAGAAAAATAAATTGTAATTAGGAGTGTTGAAAGCGTGCACAGAATAAAGATATTCTGGTCAACATTAAAGCTGTGTACATTATATGCTTTTCTGGTAGCACACAGGGAAAACAATGAAAACTATAACAATTTTCCAGTACATTAACACATATTGTATAGATAGAATGCTTTGCTTCAGTGGCTTTTGCATAGAAAAGCCCTGGAAAAACATTATTAGCTTTAGCTTCTAAATGTTCACCCTCATTGGAAAAACAACAACATACAGTATTCATCTGGTACAAATGAGAAACAACAAAAGGACCTCAATCTCTCTCTCATGTTTTGGACAACTGAAAATAGAATAAAAATAGAATCTAAATCTCTAGGTAAACTGGTAGAAGAATGTTTTGCACCTGCAGAAGGCAATTAAGGCACAATATTGTTCATATACATGTTGTGAGGCTGGTACTCCACAGTGACAGATCAGATAAAGGCCTTTCCATTTCTGGTTTTATTAAAGATTTCCTTGCATTAAGAACATTGGCCAACATGGACAGATCAGTAGGGCAACCTATCATGCGAGCAGCATTACAAATACTATCAAGTGATGTAAATGCTACTTAGGAAGAATCTGTCTGTTTCCATACATATATTAATAGTAGCAACATATGGTCTTCATCTGCCGCTTGATGATGAAGTGCACTCCCCTTGAACAATGGGATTAACTTAATAAGTAACACTGGCTGAAGTCCTGTTGCATAGTAAATTAAGTTGCAGCTACAGACTGAACTAGTGGGAATACGGTCAGCCTATTATTCCATAAACTCCACTGACTCAACGGGCCTACTTTAGTTGTGACTTACTATACTAAGCAACAGGAGTTCATGTTTCACTCCTTACTCATCAATGGTCTCTTCTTTTCATTCTGTTCTCTATTTTCTTTATGCCTTTCCCAGTTTGCCTGAATGTGGTTTATTTTTTGTACAGTATTAAGAATTCATGTCTGCATTGACGTAAATTGCCTTGAAATATTAACTGATATATTGACTGTATGACTGTATGACAGTATATTAACTGATATACTGACAACACATACCAAGATCCAGGTCTATGGAGCCTGTGTCCTGAGCACAGTCCTGTACTGCAGTGAATCCTGGACACTTTGTGCCCGGCAGGAGAGGAAGCTGAACACCTTCCATATGCGTTGCCTCCGACGGATTTTTGGTATCACCTGGCAGGACAGAGTTCCAAATAGAGTAGTCCTAGAACGAGCTGGAATTTTCAGCATGCATACATTACTGAAACAGCGACATCTACGCTGGCTTGGGCACGTTGTGAGAATGGCTGATGGTCGGATTCCAAAGGATCTCCTATATGGAGAATTAGTGCAGGGAAATCGCCCCAGAGGGAGACCACAGCTGCGATACAAGGATATCTGCAAGCGGGATCTGAAGGCCTTAGGAAAAGACCTCAACAGATGGGAAACTCTGACATCTGATCGTTCAGCCTGGAGGCAGGCAGTACATCACGGCCTCTCCCAATTTGAAGAGACCCTTGTCCAGCAGGCCGAGGCAAAGAGGAAGTCACAAAGGAAGCAAAACCAGGGAGCTGGACAGGGGACAGATTGGATTTGTCTCCAGTGTGGAAGGGATTGTCACTCTCGAATTGGCCTCCTCAGCCACACTAGACGCTGTTCCAAGTCCTCCATACAGAGCACGATACCATAGTCTTTCGAGACTGAAGGATGCCTACACATACAGTGTTATATTTATTAATCAACCAACCAATGCTGCTGCTAAAGACAGTAACTTGCACCAACTAATGTCTGCAATATTCTTTCTTATAGTTTAGCCAATTGCATAATGTTCAGTGGCTGGAAATGACTTTTTGTACTACACTTGCAAAATCCCCCAGGAAGTGTGGCTAGTAACCATACTGGCTAAGGGAATTTTGGAGATGTAGTAAAGAAATGTTTTTCTAACCTCTAACAATCATGATGGAGGATTAAAAATAAAAATAGTACTAAATTCTGTAAAACAGAGTTCCCATCCTGGTATAAATCCATCCAAGGGTAGCAGCACTAATACAGAATTAGAAGTCATTGATTGAAGTCCAGTAACATAACGTTATGTTATACAGAATCATAACATAATTGATTTGGAAAGAGTAACGTTATGTTATACAGAATCATAACATAACTGATTTGGAAAGAGCCTAATAAGGCCATTGAGTCCAACCCCCTGCTCAATGCAGGAATCCAAATCAAAGCAGATCTGACAGATAATTTTCCAATTTTCTCATGAATGCCTCCAGATTTGGAGGCTGTATAAATCTGATGATATCATCATTTGTGGTAGCATTTTGGTATTTAAAGATTTCCTATCCAAACCCTCCCATGTTCCTAGGTTCCCTTAGGATGTTTTGCTTCTCCTGGGGAAGACTTTATGGACATTGGGGAGTGGGGTGGGGAGTCTTAAATGTAAGAAAATTGCCACTGCCAGCCCCAGTGGCCACTGTTAGACTCGTTGTGGTGGTTTGGGGACATTAGATACTCCCTCCCACTCCATCATCTCCAAAAGCTTCCAAAGGACCAAAGAGATAACTTTATATTACTCGATATCACCCACTATTTACATTTGAAGAGGTGGTCTAAAACTATATATATCTAATGAATGTGAAACATCCAGGGTCTTACCATAATGGAGTTTTACAATGAAAGGGTGATTCACTTCTGCCAATATATCTCTTTCCATTTTTGATCGAACACGGTCTCGAACTATAAAGAAAAAACACATAAACATCAGGAAAACCGAAAATTAAAGATATCTGTGCTGCATTGTTACATCTGCCTCTGTAAAAGTAAAGGTAAAGGTTCCCCTTGACAATTTTTGTCCAGTCATGTTCGACTCTAGGGGGCAGTGCTCATCCCCGTTTCCAAGCCATAGAACCAGCGTTTGCCTGAAGACAATCTTCCGTGGTCACATGGCCAGTGCGACTTAGACACAGAACACCGTTACCTTCCCACCGAGGTGGTCCCTATTTATCTACTCGCATTTGCATGCTTTCGAACCACTAGGTTGGCGGGAGCTGGGACAAGCGATGGGTGCTCCCTCCGTCGCGTGCATTCGATCTTATGACTGCTTGGTCTTCTGCCCCTGCAGCACAGGCTTCTGCGGTTTAGCCCGCAGCGCCACCACGTCCCTATCTGCCTCTGTACTGGTGCATAATCCTGAATAACTTGTTTTATTTTGTATGGTCACTGGTATTCCTTATTGAAATGAGATGGCAAAGTATAAAAGAGCTGTGTGTATGTGGAACTTTACTGCAGTTCTCAATGCTGGAGAGACAAGTCACTTCAAAAACTGAACAGTGGGGTCTGCTCCACTGAAAATAGTAAATAAAATTGTCTTCATGCTCCTTGTCCTCTCCTGTAGGAGCCGAGCCATTATTTGCATGTCAGTTTGCCTTTCTGTGCATTTATACCACACTTAATAAACAGAGCAGTGGAAATGGAAGAAGAAAGAATTTTCCTCACATATACATGATAAACCCATTGGATGATCATCCCTCTGAAATGTGGATGATTTGCTAATCCTCTAGGGTAACTGACCGACATTAACACACATTTTCCTCACATATACATGATAAACCCATTGGATGATCATCCCTCTGAAATGTGGATGATTTGCTAACATTAACACAGAGAAAAGAACTGAGCAAGGCAATTGACACCAGGACATTTTGGAGATCGCTCATTCATAGGATTGCCATGAGTCAGAGATGCCTTCACAGCGTATAACAACAGCAGCAGCAGCAACAGCAACTGATTGGTATTGGTAGCAAGTAGTGACAGGGTGATCTCTTGACAGATATCCATCAAAGCTTGGAGAAAGCAATACTCAGTCTGAAGAGCAAGAAACAAAAGACTAGAGTTACAAGCTGGAGCTTTTGAAGAGCTGTACAAGCTTTTTGCTGGGGATTTGTTCTCTTTTGGAAGAGGCTTGGAGAAAGCAATACTCAGTCTGAAGAGACACAGCAAGAAACAAAAGACTAGAGTTACTAGCTGGAGCTTTTGAAGACCTGTACAAGCTGTTTGCTGGGGATTTGTTCTCTTTGGAAGAGTGCCAGACATTATCTACTCAGATGTAAATCTCACAGAGTTCCATGTGATTTACTTTCAGGTACTGTATGTGGATGCAGGACTGCAGTTTAACATGAGCACTGTGTTCACTTTCATTACATCCTGCTTGTCTCATTTTTATTAAAGCAAATGTTAGGATGAAACATTTAAATCTTCAGTGTTCCAAAGGAAACTAGAAGTTGTTGCATGGTCCCTCAAATGTCTCACTGCTTGGGGAAATGGGAAATGCATACCAGTATATAATAACACCCAGCCACAAATTGGTTCTAAATGTATTTGAAAATTTATGCTGCTTCAGTGTTACCTGATTCACTAAGTACCATTTCCTGGATACTATGTTAATAAAACGGTGCAATTTCCACATGAAAGTACAGTAATCAGTAAATGAAACCGTGTGAGTGCAGAGCAGAGGAGACTAGTCTCATGCTCTTTTGCAGATGCAATATAAATTAGAAATAATTAGTTAGGATCAAATGAACAGAGGCTAAGAAAGAAATGTAATTAGGTGATGTCTACTGAGTTCAAACTAATTTTAAGATACACAGAAGATGTACAGATGCAGTACCTAACTGTATTTCATTTTAGAGTAATTCACAAGGTTCTTGACATTAAATTATATTGCATGAGCCCAGTAATGTATTTGTCTTTAAAACCGAGTGGACTAAGTGCTTGTTCAACCTTTCCTTAAAAAAAGGGAGGGGTAGCTTTTAACCCACTGCACATACATGAATACAGTGTATCCTCCCCAACGCACACAGAACATCCACATCACTATAAATGCATTTTGCTGGTCTCTTATCGTAAACAAGTTTGTAAATTATAGTATGTTGCCACTTCCTTCTCCAAAAGACAAGTCCTGAAGAAGCATTACCTTATCTCTGGTCCACACACACAACCATCACCCACATAACATTTTCTGGGCAAGTTGCTTAAGTGAACTAGTGGCAAAAATTCTTGGGGTAAGTCGATGTTCTAGATCTATTTAAATTAGGATCCAATTCCTATTTTGAAAAGAAAAATGCCTTGGTCACTCTATGTGAAAATTTGCTGATAGAGCTTGGAGCACCTTGTATCAGCTAAAAAAAATGCTCCAGCACATATTTGACTTCTAATATAATCTTACACAAATTTATTCAGAGTTTTATATCTTACTGAGTTTTATTGAGATTACTCCAAATTAACTGCACATAGCATAGGGCTGCAGCTGCAACTCTTTGTCCCCCCCACATTCCATTAATTAACATAAAATTGTGACAGCAACAGCTCCAAATGGCTGACATCAGCATTTTGTCAATAACTGTACTGATATATACTTATACGGGGACAGAGAAAGACAGAAAAAGTACCCAAATGGTGTAGTGGGCAGTGGGTTGGACTAGGGCTGAGATGTGGGTTAGAATTCCTGTTTAGCCATGAAAACGTACAGGGGGTGGCAATGGTAAACCACATTTCTAAAAAGTGTAAGCTATAAACTTTCTCTACAGCATGGAGAAGAGATTTCCCAATTTATTTTGAAACATTTTTCGGTGGTGGTGGTGAATAATTACTCCTATACCATGAGTTAGGAGTGATTATATGTCACTTGGGCTCTGCACAATAGATCAGTTTGTTTATATATAACCCATATTGCTGAGTATGATGCGGTGGACAGAAAGAGCATTGTATGACCACCTCTGGACAACCGCAGGATAATCCAGAGTTGTTATCCAATGTCATGACACTGAAAGAGAAAGGACAGAGGTTGAAGTTAACAGCAGTGGCCATTCTGGAGTAAATGTGTAATTAATTGTCTTCCCATCCTAGAGAAGAACAATAAGGACATTCTTTGAGCTGGACAGATTTTTTAAAATCACATAATGAATATGGAAGCGTATAAATGCTATCCCACATAATATGGGTTAACATTAATACACTTTCCTCAGTGCCATTTCTTTAAGCAAGTGTGTACATTTCCAGCCTGCAGGTTGTTAAGCCATGATTCAAAATGCAGTTCCACGGCCCATCTAGCCTACAGTTTGTTCAATACTAAATGTATAATTGTCCAAGGAGAGCTAGCAACTCCAAGCAGATCTGGAAAAGGGTTCTCTCCAACAGCCTGGAACGCAGCTGTCTATCAAGATAGGCCATATGGAGCTAGACAGACAGATGATCTGATGTGGGATAAGATGACTTCTTTGTCCTGATAGTGACAATATTGAGGCACGACAGCACAATTCACGTATTAGGCAGATGAAGAGGAACCGTTAACTACTCACACATTTCAGGGCTGTCATTTATAGGAATTCAGATCCGTACATACCATCTCTTCCAAGGGCTCAGAGAAAAACAAACTGTGTTCTTATGTAATAGAATCAAACTCCCACAGATAACCTTAGCAATGGTATTCAAAGGGTTTTCCTTTGTTCTCAACCTTAGTGATTCTACTCTTACATAATGCCATTACATTTGTTCTGCTAGTATGAGGATGTCTCTCTTAGAAATGAAATAGAAAAAAGGAAGGAGAAGTCCAGGAAGGCTCTGTACCAACATGGCAGAGCACACGTTTTGCAAGCTGAAGACCCTATGTTAAATTTCTGGCATGTCCAGCTCAAAAGATGAAGGAGCAAATGATTGAAAAGACCTTTGCTCTAAACCCTGGAGATCCGTCCAAAATTGATGCTGTTGTTTTGACTTATATACTGCCCCATAGTGCTCTCTGGCCTTTTAAAATTATGCAAACAACAACTTGCTCCCCAGCAAGCTTGGTGGTCATTTTATTGACCTTGCATGGATGGAAGGCTGACTCAGCCTTGAGCTGTCTACCTGAGTCTGTTGGGACTGAACTCAGGTCATGAGCAAAGGCTTAACTGCAGAACTGCATTTTAATCAATGTGCCAAGAAGCTTGCTTTGTGGCTATGCCAGATGGACAGTGCCCTATGTTTCTTCTCTAACCCATTTGCCTGTAACCCTCAAAGTGAACCTCCCATTTCAGGCTGGATGTGGTCCAGGACAAGAATATCCAAGAGTATATCTAAGGTCAGGCACCTGCCAAGGGACCACTCCTCAGAAAGGCAGGACCAAACTTGTCTCTTCTCTTCAGCACTACAACTTGCTTGCTTTCTCGCCTCCCAATCTGTTCTAGACACAGAATGACAATGGAAACAAGGAACAATAGATGCCAATGTCTGCTTGCATGCTGCACCTCTGCTGGCCCAGCAAGTGACAGCAGTCATAAGAACAAGGAGGAAAGACCAACAGAAGCTGTGGCAGTAGCAGGGATAAAGGGAACTCAGTGAGGGATGTAGTCACTAGGATGGTGGGGTCACCAAGAACAGGGAGCATGTTTAGCCTCCACTCCAGAGGGAAAAATAAACCCCTTTGCTTTCATATCAAGAAATGACAGCAATTTATTCTCATGAGGAAAAAAAAAGCAAACAGTGTCATGGGGCTGAACTGCGTCAGTGACAGCCAAATATTTTCCCAGCCTTTACTGATAAGCAGCTTGGCCCACACTGACAGGGATGCCACCATGCCTTGTGCACATGCATGCACGCACACACGCACACACACGCACACACGTCCTGGCAGTACACCAGCCTTCCTTGCAGTCCCAGTCTACCTAGCATAGTGACATGCATTTTGCTAGTATTCCACA